TCCCTGGTACTCATCCCCCACAATTGACTGTACAAAGAAAAGAATTTTTCAAAATAACTTTCAAATATACTGTTTCAAGCACAATGTCCTATATATCTTAACTAGTACATATTTTATCCAACTACTCTTATTTACTATTTTATGATTCTTTTCATACCAGGGATTAAACCCAGGAATACTTAACCACTGAGCTATAGCTCCAGCCTTTTAAAAATTTAATTAAAAAAAAGAACCCAACTGAGTTCCTCAGGGCCTCACTAAATTGCTGAGACTGACTTTGAACTTATGATCCTCCTGCCTCAGCCCCCAAGTCTCTGAGATTACAGGCATGAGCCCTATTTTATGAATTTTTAATAATGTTGATCTAAAGGTTTTGTTTTGTTTTTCTGGGTGATGCAAGTCATTTGCAATCAATGACAATGAAAATTAGTTATTTTCTAAACATCAGTTCTCTCATTTATGTTCGTGTTTTGTTGCATTGTGTAGAACAGGGTTTTTTCAAGTTCAGCACTATTGACATTTTGGACTGGATAATTCTTCATTGTGGGGTCTTCCCTGGCCTCTACTCACTCCATCAAAACACCCTCATCCCCAAGATTGGAACAACCAAAAAATGACTCCAGACTTTGCCAAGTGTCCCCTGGGAAGCAAAGTTTCCACTCACCGAGACTAAATGCTCTAGAATTTTCAAAACATTATAAAATAATATAACAGTGATCTGGTCATTCTTCATTTGTTCCTAATTTAACAGGGAATGATATGTGTGGTGTTTTCAAATTAAATACGTCAATTTAGCATAGACAGTCTTTATGAGGTTCTAGAAATAGAATTTTCCTCCTATTTTAAAAGAAATAAAATGTTAATGAGAATTGATTAGTGATGATGTAGAATAAATTCCTCCTTGTGTTTCAAAAGAATTCCTACAACCAGTGAATCCCTTTACAGCCACAGTTGGTGTGTGTGTATGTGCATTGTGTGTGTGTAAAGGAGTAAGGTCGGAGGTGTTGTGGAACTCTTACTTCCGGACATTGACTCACAGAAGCAGAAAAGAATATGTGCTAAGCGAACACAGCCCAGGCTTTTCTTTTTTCCCCTATGAAGGAAAGGAAATCAAATTCAAGATTATTGCTGTTAACTGAGACATAGCCCCCAGGCATTTTAAGTAGATGAATTCTTTAGCCACTCTTTTCAAATGATAATTTATAGCTCTTTTTGTTTTTCTGAACTCATTTTATTAGGCTCCAGCTGTCAACGTTTCAAATAGAATAATGAAGTTCAGAGTCACCGCTCTGTGCTTCCCATGGCCTTGAGAAGTCGGCTTCCAGGACGGAGGTGATGAAGGCTGACTTGGCAAGGGGCTGGGAGGTTCTGCTCGAACCTTCACAAGCAGACTGGAGCTGAGGTCACAGACAGACTGCGCAGGTGAGAGGGCACATAAATTCTACACCAGAGCTGCTCAGACTTCACGTGGCCTGAGTGGGCCTCCCTCGGTGGAGAGGCCTGAGGCCCCTCGGGCAGGTGGATTTATGTCAGCAAGAGCAGCTCGTAGAAAGAGATTAAGAAGGTTTTCAAAGGGTGCTTGAGGGGTCGGTCTTCCATCTGAGCCGTCTGGGACGCAGAGCCCTGTCTGTGAGGACCTGGGTTGGTGCCAGAGAAGGGAGTAGGGCGGGCCCGAGGAATGGAAGGTCACTGGCAAATTGGGTGTTGTGATAATTATATCCTTGTTTCCTTGAAGGTACCAGCGTCCTTGATTTTCCAGCTTCAAAGTGAACGGCCTCTGAAGTAGGGGGACAGTCACACCTGCCTTGCTGCCGTTGATTTCTGCCTTCCTGGCTGCAGACTCAACAAGACAACAATGAGTCTGTTGACATTTTCAAGGCCACATTCATAAACCAGCCATGGGAAGCCTCTCTCCCCCTTTCTTTCAAAGTGAACATGAAAACGTTGTGTACCCAGTAAGAATTCAGCAACGAACTCAACTCCTCGGAGATTGGATCTTAAGTTCAGATGCTTTATGAATCAGACACTGTAAGTCATCTTCATCACACCCATAGCCTTTCCTCTTGCCCCAAAGGACAATCGGGACCAGAGTGTAGTAATTATTCGAGGTGTCAGTATCTAATACACTGGGCGTGAGGGTTTTTGTTTGTTTTATTTCTCTCTCTCTCTCTCTCTCTCTCTCTCTCTCTCTCTCTCCTCCTGGTCAACCTTCTGAGAAGCTGGACCCACAGTGGTTACTAGGTACAAGCCTAGTTTTGTCTTTCACATTTTCCCTTTAGCACTGAGATTCCTATGAGACCTTGAGGGAGTGGAGAGAGGGCCTTGTGTGTCTAATGGGTGCAATGAAATGGTCCCCAAATGGAATTTCCACTGATTAAAATATATATATCTGCCATCTCTGTAGCTCAGCTTGCCTGATCATCTGAACCCTCCCATCATTATATGGGCCAATTTAAAGCCACATTCTTATTTTAAAATTCCATTTGTTAAAGAGCAGATGACTGGTTTCTGGCCCCTGAAGCCTGCCTGAGAAGTGGACTACGTATTACCCAGAAGCCTCTGGAACCTGTCAAGGATGATCTTCTGCTGTTACTATCAGCTCCATCCACCTCACTTTCCTTCTCCAGGCAAAAGCAGGTGCTGGTCGTGGTGAGCCAGATGTGTCAGACTCAAAGACAAGTGTCATATGTTTGCTCTCATATGTGGAAGCTAGAGAGGAAAAAGGGAAAAGAAAGTTCTCACAAAAATAGAAAGAAGACTGTTAGGGCAAAAGAAGAGGATCAGGGCAGGGAGGAGAGATACAGGACAGGGGACTGAAATTAGTTAAATTGTTACATGCATATATGAATATGCCACAATAAAACCCACTATCCTGTATAATTAATATGCACCAGTAAAATGTTTAATTAAAATAATAAAGTAAAACCCAAAACAATAATATCAATATGTTAGGCTATATATGTTTAAGTGTAATATACATATATATATATATAAAATTTTTATATATATATAAAATTTTTATATATATATATAAAATTTTTATATATATATATATAAAATGTATGTTTATGTGTAAGTGAAATAAATAACAGTAATGATTAAAGGCAAAAATAAAAGCAGGTGTGGGTCAAAAGCTAGAAATTGGGAAGAGGGAAATATTTTCTGTTTTTTTCTGGTTAGTTTTTGTTCTGACTCTGGCAGGGATAAATAATGGCTCCGTATACAAAATCTTCCCTCTCTTTTGCCCTGAGATGGGGAAAAAATACACCATTATATTGATGAATTCTCAACTCAGCGACAGATAAATAACATCTTTCTTTATTGGAGGAAGGTCTCCCCACCTGTCTTTGTCTCATACCATCCCCCTAAACCCCGTTCCCCCCACCCCCATTCCCCCACCCTTGTCTTGCTATTGTTCTGAGAGTTTTCTGCTCCCTCCATCCAGGGCAGTGACTACTATGATACCTAGAAGGGCAGGAAAGCTCAGATGTGCTCCTGCCTGTCCCTAGGGCCCTTGGGCTTCTGAGCTCCTGCCTGTGATTTAGTGAGGAGACCCAAGGGGGCAGCACAGGTGCTGTATCTCATGCCCCGCTGACTGCCAAGGGACCGTTTAATCTGTTGACTTTATTCAGTTATGCTAGTCTGGCAAACGTACCTGGGACTGTAAATTACTTAGATGCTTAATTTATTTGGTGTAGAAGGTTCTCTCTTATACTTCAGCTGTCTAATAGCAGAAGATGAAAAACCACTTTATTTGCAAGTCATAAAAACTTTAACAGACTTGTGCCTTAAAGAGAAAGAGACCTCTCTGGCTTTAAAAGTATAAGTAGGGATTCAAACAAGCATTGTTCCCCTAAGAGAAAAATTGTGGTGTAAACTCAATTACATTGGAAATAGAACCAGAAACACAAGTGTTCTTTCTGATGCTAACAGACAACAAAGAAACAGGAGAACAAACTCTTTCCAGTAGGAGGGGGCACAGCAGGGTCCTTAGTCACCCCCCAGTCCCATTATCATGAACTTCCCAATGACCCAAGGGAGGGAGAAGTATAAAACTGGAGGAGGTATGATATAATGTAGAATCTGCTAGAAGACAAAATTACTATATAATCAGTGAAAAGTGTCATTGTTTTATTTATTGACCTCACACTCAATATGTTTCATGAAGAAAGAAACCCAGTCTGAGTTTCATTAACATAGAAAGAAACAACAAATACAAATGATCTAATGCACTGACTGGTCACTATCACATTAGATTGGGGCTCCAAATAACCTTTCGGTCTCTTGGTGAAAAAGGATTGATCCAAAGCAAAAATAAGCAGAACCTGTGGCTGTACCAAAATAGAAGCCGTAGGAGTATAGACATTCTTTGTAAAACACATTTTTACAAGTGCCTTATTTTAAAGCTGCTCCTGAAATCAGATGATATTAATTGGTTTTTTGTTTATCAATGTTCAAAATTTATTTTCAAAAAATTTCTTTCATCAATGGGAGGCAGTAGAGTTTTAGCTAACAATGCTCATTCTGCAGTCTGGCTGCCTGGATTTGCTTTTTTGACTATGTCTTATTAGTTCTATGACTTTGTAAAAGTTTCTTAACTTCTCTGTGTCTTGGTTTTCTCATCTGTAAAGTAAAGATATATTGTTCTCTTAGAGTTCTTGTGTGAAGAAGTACATAAAACAGAATCTGGCACGTTATGTGTTTCCTATGTCTTAAATCACTGTTACTAATCATGTACTATGTACTTTGGATTTATATATATATAAAACAATCAGTCTATGACTGTTTTATAATATATATATATATATATATATATATATATATCAATCTTCTGAGGCAGTGATTGTTATTCCCACTCTACTGAAGAGGACTGACTCCACATGCCATAGGTAGAAAGAAGTAGAGCCCAATTCGGAATTCAGATCAGTATGTCCCTGCAGTAGGTCTGAAATCCCAGAGAGCAGACTCTAAAACAGAGCTAGCTCTGTGTGCAGGAATTTAACTGGGGAGAGCCCAAGGGTAACATGTGTAGACTGGGGAGAAGCCAACATGGGATGCAATAGTTGTGGCTGTGACAAAGCTCCCTTTACCCCTCAGGGCCTCTGGCACTGGTCCCTCACTGCAGACTTGATTCCACAGGGGCAAAGTTCTGGGCATTAGCCATCTCTTCCACCAAGTCTCCAGGTCTTGCATCTATGCTGCCCATGAGAGTATGCGGCTTTAGGCAAAGCAGCCCCCTTCAACCAAGGGTGAGCTCCAGAGAGGGTCTCAACTGAGTATGGCAGTAGCCTCACTCCCTGCTAGGGGAATAAGCACCTTGGTCTCCAGGGGGAATCTGGGCAAGGCATTGCTGGGATAGGACCCACCTCCCCGCTTAGTGGAAAGGTGCTCCAAGTCATCTTGTGGACCATGGGGGTGGCGATCATTGCTATTTTTGTTCAAAATCTCTCAGACCCCTCTTGTGGCCAAGAGTCCAGGAAGTATGTGGGTAGACTGCTGTTCCTGGATACTCCCAAAAGGTACCTGGTGACTTGAAACTAGCACAGCAGCTGCTAACCAACATCCAAAACAAGCAAGTCATCCACAGGCCCTGGCTACCACAGCTTATATGCTCTTCATAGCCAGTCACAGACTGATCACTTATGAAACATGCAAGGGGCCCATATTTTAAAAACACAATTTCTTTAGCAAGTATTCTTTATGGTGTCTGTCATGATCCACAAGTTAAAATCACAGAATGTTAAAACTGGAAAGAGCTGGAGAGATCCAACCCCTTCATTTGGGCTGGAGTGGAGGGGAATGATTTAGTCCAGGTTACACAGCAAGTTAATAGTTACACCATGGGATCGGGACCATCAGCGTGAAAATTGATATCTCAAGTAGAGGTTAGCTGTTTGCCAACTGCAAAGAAATTATAAAAACAAATTCTTGGCTGAAAACTTGAAAGGATAGGTTTGGAATGTTATCTTAATGCACATTACAGTCTTGGAGTTTCTTGTCATATCCAAGATAAAGTACTGTGTTTATATTCTATTCATTTCCATGCAACATGGCTTCTAAAACTAAATGCCAAGAATTCTCACTGACATGGTGTGGTTCTTGTTTCTTTCCTAAAAATACAATAGTTATGATTAAAATGCTCTTCTACTCCTAATATTATAGTTTCCCGCCATAAAATTGATACAATTACATAAATATTGTGTGATGTGAGAAATCTTTAAAGAACATATTTCAGACTTGAGAGTAAATCTTATCTTTGAAATATTTTCAGAAAACATATCATATGGAGCTGCAGGGTTTAAAACAGTACCAACAACTGTTATGCTAACAGATTATCTAAAGTGCAGTTCCTTGGCATATGCATATATCCTAAACCATGAAGATTAGTGCTCAAGCTTTTAGTTTTTTATTATCTCCTTAGTACATTACCTGGCTGGAGTTAGACATTTAAAAATCCCATACGATCGTTCAGCTCTTCAGAAAAGTTAACCGGTAAATTCCCAGGAGAAAATCTACTGGACAATCTGACTATTAAGAATAGTGGGAGCTTACTATTGGAGTTCAGAGCACAGACATAGGAGCCATACTGCCTGCATCAGAGCCCAGCTTCATCAGCTATGTGATGATGTGTGGTTACTGGGCAAGTTATTTAACCTCCAAGTGGGAATACGTGTTAACACTTGGCTTTTGTGATTATTGTAAGGATTAAATGAGGGAATGCATGCAGAATGCTTGGAACAGTGCCTGCATGCACTAGTGCTCAGAGAATTCATATCATTAGAATTTGCTTTTTATACTATAAAGGATTTAACTTAAAAGTTAAGGATGGACATTTTAAAACAATGCACCTTGCCAGGCACAGTGGCACATGTCTATAATCCCAGTGTGGCTCAGGAGGCTGAGGCAGGAGGATCTTGAGTTCAAAGCCAGCCTCAGCAAAAGTGAGGCACTAGGAAACTCAGTGAGATCCTGTCTCTAAATAAAATACAAAATAGGGGTGGGATGTGGCTCAGTGATTGAGTGTCCCTGAGTTCAATCCCCAGTACCCAAAACAAACAAACCAAAAACTAGATGCACCTAAGTGACCATGCTAAATTATTTATTTTTACAATGGGACTCTGGTAAAAGACAATCATAAGGCTAAATAGAAATATAAGTTTATATCCTTAAGATTTTTTTCAATAACTTGATACACATAAAGAATGAGATAGTAAATTCCCAATTTTTAACAAGAAGAAATTTGGTTCTAAGAATCAAATAACAATATTCTGATGATGAGCTCTAGAAAATCATTCTCAAACTGGAAGCTCTGGAGAAACAGTAGCAATGTGGAAGGAATTAATATTTGTGAAATGACTGGTTGAATAAAAGAGGAAAAGTCCTTTAATGCATACAATTTTAGAGTTGGAAAGTTATGCTTATGACATTACAAATAAGGAACCTGGGGTTAAATGACTTAAAACTTTCTGGGAGAGAAGAAAGAAAGAAAGAGAGAGAGAGGAAAGGAGGCATGGAAGGAGGAAAAGAAGGAAGGAAGGAATTATGTGATTAGAAACAAGACATTAACTTGCAGGTTTGAGCACTTTCCAATAAGACATTTTCTTCCATAGTATTTTTTCTAAAATATGTTCTTAGAAACTCCAGTCTCCTAAAATGGCCCTGGAGAAATGGGTAGAAGGAGTTGTTCTATAGTCAAGTAATTTGGGGAAATGCAGAGTTAAACAAATAAAACAGTAGAACTCCACAAAGGAAATAGCACTGTATACAGTGTTTCTGAGCAGAGTTTGACCGTGAAATTCCTTTTGGAAGCAGCATCTTTTGGGGCTTCTGGTCTATGAAACATATGAAAGAAAACTGAGCAGTTGGTTATAACAAATACTTATT